TTTCAATTCCAGGTGATTAAAAATTCACATAAGATGCATTGGTTGCAATGAAGTTGAATGTGGAAGAAGCAAAAATTGATGGCAAAGAACTTTTTATGTCTTTTGAAGAATTACGATATCATTTGAAAGAATAAAAGGAGCAATGTAGTAAAAGAAGTGACATCTGTCTTCAACATGAGACTTTTCCAATTATGTATAATTACTTTGTAAAAAATACTATTTTAGATAAACTTGATTTTTAAGTCATTCACTGATATTTTTACCAAAAAACAAAAAGAAAAATTCAAAGGAATAATGTTAAATTCAAAAATTTGTCAAGTTGCTTGAACCTAGAAAAAATTAGTATAGGTAACTGTAATTTGTAAGGACACAGGAGGAAAGTAGTGCAAGAAGGTTAGCATTTTTGAGAATTAATAAGTCCTTCTTGACATACATTACACAAGGCCATAATATTATAAATAATGGCTGTACAATAACAATTATACAACATGCTAAATATCTTCACCTACATTTTCATTATTTAAACAGATTTGCCTTCATGCAGCAATAAGAAAAGTGTTACGTCAGAGAAACCAATGCACTTTAATTTAAGAAATCGTATTTTCAATGGGAAATTAATGTAGTTCTGTTCAGTAGTAGATCCATGGTTGTCAATGACAATCCAGTTTCTAATATCTTGGCTCAAAACAGAACCAGCAACATGATTATAGAATTTCTGAATTTCATTCTTTTGCTCTCCTTGTTCAAGATACTTTCTTCATAAGTTCTCAGTAGATTTATCAGAATATCATAATACCTTATAAGACACCCAGAATCAATCCTACCAAAAAAACTCAAAAAAATTACATACCTACTTATAATATATTTCCAGTCGATCGACTTAAGTCGTAGGGGTAAGCTAACTTTTTCTAACTCGTTTTTGGACATTTTAACTAAGATTTACCCATCTATTTAAGAAAGAAAGTTGCACCAAGCTGTTAAAAAAATAGTCCAAAAAACACGAAATGCTAATGGTATATGCATTAAGCTTAACGACACATGACAGTGTAAAGAATGGCGTTTGATATTTATTTCTAATATAGCTAAAGCATTACTTGACAAAATATACATTATTTTACAGTAGATTTACCTCCTTTAAATGTGTGTGTCTATTTCACAAAAACCTGAAGCATTATTTTCAATATTTTATGCTTACGGTATCGTGGTTGTTTTTGCTGGTTGTCATTAAGGCCCCGTCCACACTAATCCGTATTCAAACGAAAACGGAGCTCTTTTGCTCCGTTTTTAGAAAAATTTGCGTCCACACTAATCGTTTTCTTATCGTTTTTGCCCGTCCACACTACTACGCGTTATGTTTCAAAAACGCTGTTGTACCCAAAGTGCGCATGACCAAATAAACTTCGCGCATGAGCATTTCATTTTAACGAATCCGCGAAAGGCGAGAATAAATGGCGCCATTCTTAAATTCTCGTTGTTGTGGCTTACAATTCTTCAATATCTACATTTTTAAGTATGCCAAGGACAGGTGAAAATCTGTCGAAATCTAAAAAGGGTTGTTTTACGTGGACTGATGATGAAGTCGAGCTACTTCTAAAAGTAACAAATGATTACAAAGTGCAGAAAAGCACCGAGAGTATAGACTGGGAGTCGGTGCAGTCGAAGTATGGCGATATCTTGGATATGTTTCAAGCAGAGTATCCTAACCAGGAAAGTCCCACAGCTTTATTCAAAGAATATCCTCATAAACCAGAGGATATAACGAAAGCAACACTTTCAACCAAATTAAAAGGCATTCGGAAAAAATTTCGACAAGCTGTTGACTCGGGAAGGAAGAGTGGACATGGCCGCGTTGTCCTGCTGTATTTCGAGCTCTGTGAACAAATATGGGGCGGCTCTCCAGCGACAAACACGATTAGATCTGGCTTAGAAACAAGCACATTAATCGATGATGTTGATGTTGATGTTAATGTGGATAGTGTTCCAAATGCCCCTGCATCAATAGAGATAAATGATGATGAAAGCAGAAGCCCAGAAGATGAAGACGAATCATATGATTCTACAACTTCGAGCAGCAGTACCATTCAGCATCGGCGTGAATTATTAAATTCAAAACTGAAGGGCTATAGTCAGGAAAAGTTGAAGAGAAAACTTCTTGTAGATAGCCAGATGCTGAGTATTGCCCAGGAAGAACTTGAAATTAAAAAAAAATTGATCACAAGAATGGAAGAGATTGACCAAGAAAACTCAACTCAGATGAGAAGGATGATGACCAACATGGAAAAACTAACTGAGTCCATAGCAGATGGTTTTACTATGCTGAAGCAGGTAATGCTAAGCCCACCACAGCTGCTATATTCACCACAGCCACCACAACCACCCATGCAACCTCACTACCCTCCCCGCCAAACATTTACTGAGTTGACACCGCTTCGAGATTCTGGGGACAATGGCCACTTCACTTTTACACAGTCTCTATATTCCAAAGATAGTCAACTTCCTTTTTAATGTGGCACCTTATTGGAGACCACTTTTCTCAAATCAGAAAATGGTGTTCCTTGCAAGCATTTTAAGATGCATGCACTGCAAAACAGTTTTTAGCATGAAGCACCATTGGCTATGAAACTGGCATATCACTTATCAGCTTGTGAAGTGCTATGTTTTCTGCCTTAACTACAATTCTTAATTGTTTACTGCTTGGGTCCTGCATTTAATAAATGCCAAGAAAACTACCAGATAAACATATCCAGAAAAATTATCTAAAGTGAGGAGAGTGTTGAACACAAATTTCTAATAATCATATATATTGTAGGTTCCTATGTAATAGTAATATAATCATGGATCAAAATATTTAGTTAAAACTCTCCTGACTCTTTCCTTCTGCCTCATTGCTGTCTGTTATAAAATTATTTGTATTTGATAATGGCTGGAAATGTTTATCAAAAGCAATGGATGCCAGAACTCTGTTCTCTCCAATTTTTTCTTTTCTCATCTCACAAAAATTGTGAAGAACAAAACATGCATATATTACATATGGGAGATCATTCAAATTTATGTCCATGGCCCTCTTAAGACACCCAAACCTTGCCTTTAATCTTCCAAACGCACACTCGATGACCATCCTGGACTGACACAGAGTCATCCCGAAGTACTGCTCCTGGACTGTAGCTCCACCATTAGAATATTCCTTCATCAGGTAGGGCATCAACGGGTAAGCAGGGTCTCCCAGAAGGAATACCGGAATAGGGTCCTAATTAGGAACTACTATCCGCCTGCATTGTGGTATGGTGCCATCTCTCAAGACTTGGTTCATTTGGGAATTTTGGAACACCCTAGCATCATGGACACTGCCTGGCCACTTAATGACAACATCAATAAAACGATAATCATAGTTGCAAGTAGCCTGAACGTTGAGACTGTAGCGTCCTTTTCTGTTTATATATTCTGTGCTATTTGCCTTTGGCTGCTTAATTTCGACGTGGGTGCCGTCAATTGCTCCTAAGCACTGAGGAAAGCCATGAGCTACATGAAATTTTGCAACTAAGTCTTTTACATCCTCTTCTGTAGTTGGCAAATGAATGTAATCAGGTCCAATGTGAATGGCAATCGCTTTGCAGACTTGTCGAACTACTTTGGAGACAGACTGCCGTGAAACACCAAAGGCATTTGCAGTCTTTCGCAAACGACCTTCATCACTTAAATAGTACAAAGTTATTGCAACTTTTTTTACCACGTCGATCGGCGACCGCATTCTTGTTTCTTTTCCTTCGATGTACGGCCTCAATTTGAAAGCTAGAGCGTACAGAGAGTTCCTACTCATTCGGAAATTTTCCCTCCACTCTTCTTCCACGACAATTCTGGCGACAAAGTTGTCCCACCACACTGAACTTCGTCCAGGTCTTGTCCAAAACCTTCGAGGTTTAGGCAAGCCTCGAGAGAGACGTTTTATCTTCGATTTTCTCGAAGCTGGGAAAGTCAAAAGCTTTAAAATAGCTTGTTTTCTTCTTGTAGAATCTAGGTGACGTCTTAGCAGGAATAAATGTGCCTTCAAGAGCACCAAAAGACTAGAAATCATAACAATCAGAAAAGAAGCCATAACAAAACACCTGTCCGCCATTTTAAATATTCGCGGTCGAATTACGTCACTATATCACTTACCATCGTTTTTACTGTCCACACTAGGAAACACCGTTTTCACAAAGCATCGTTTTCAAATTGCTCCACTCTGGAAAGCGTATTTGAATAGCTCCGTTTTCGGTGATCGTTTTCGGCGTTGTATTGTGGACGATAGCCGTATCCGGAGCAAAACAGCTCCATTTTCGTTTGAATACGCATTAGTGTGGACGGGACCTAATATAAGCAGGAATAGAGATCCGGATTCGGGAGGGAGCGAATGTTAAAAATTTTTCTCAAAGTGGAAGTTTTGACAACCAAAATCCGCCATTACCGCCATGTTTTTGACCACGGGGTCCAGGCCCCTTTGCCCCTCCAGGTCTTATAGAGCTCAATGGTCCACACGTATCCGGATAAATTTGACAACACTGATAAAATTCCATTTGAGCATGCGCTTCTACGGTGGCCCATTAGGGACACGTTCATTCTATAGAAAATCGTGCTTTCATTTTGTAAATTAATTGATTCAATAATAAAAAGACAGTTTGTCTTACAAAAGTAGTCGTTCCGTAGAAAAATGTTACATGTTCCGTAGAAAATTGTTGCATGTTCCGTAGAAAATTGTTGCATGTTCCGTAGAAAATTGTTGCATGTTCCGTAGAAAATTGTTGCATGTTCCGTAGAAAATTGTTGCATGTTCCGTAGAAAATTGTTGCATGTTCCGTAGAAAATTGTTACATGTTCCGTAGAAAAATGTTACATGTTCTGTAGAAAATTGTTGCATGTTCCGTAGAAAATTGTGCATGTTCCGTAGAAAATTAAAAACATTGCGCGCGCATATACTTTATATTCTAAGATACATGAAGTTTACCGTCATTTGATCAAACATGGCGGCTTGTCGACTGTGCAATGTAAACATTTTTATGCCATGCAACTTCTGTCCTTATTGCGGCTGTAGAGTTACAGGTATGATGTCGATTGATTGTATAATTTGAAAGAAAATATCACTCAGACAATTTCTCTATTCTTTTGTAGCATAGGAATTTTATATGTATTTTGTATTTGTATAATGTATTGCCAAAATTGTGGTACTAAAATATTACAAGGCGGAAGTTTTTGTCATAATTGTGGCCATGCGGTTGCAAAAAAAGTAATTCAAGATAATATTTAATTCAAAATGCTTACTTTGTAAATTAATTGAAAATACTTTATAAACTATTAATTGATATCCCAGTCTCTGTAAATTAAGATGAATAGACTTTGGAATAAAGAATTTTTCAACTTTATAAAAAAGATTAAAGAATAAGAAATGAATTCATGTAAAATTAACTCTTTTATTAACTTTAGATTCCCTTGTGCAGTGTAATAACATTATCCAGTCTTATAACAACTCTGGCACATCTAACAATCAAAGCCCTCCAGCAAGTGGCTCAACTTCCATAATTTGTAATGACAGTATGCCTCGTGACTTACGTCCTATGACCTTTCATGAATTTCGAAAACAAAAAGAACAAGATAGATGCTCTAAATTCTCAATTTCTAAAACAAAAAAGAGGAGCATTTCAACAGCAAATAAAAAAGCTAGGTTAGCACAAGAAGTGAAAGTGCAAGTTGGTGTGGTTAGAGAAAGTGTTGAAGATGGTAGATTGAAAAAAATCAAAGGAAGAACTATTCCTGTATTATTTAATGAAGACGACAATGCCAAGGTATTGCTCGAAAAGGCAGTTGAGAAGCATGCAAGGCACTTTAAACAATTTGACAGAGTTGATACTTATGTCATTCTCTATCAAGATATGACTCTTGTTAAAGAGTTACCAGGTAGTAACACATCTTTCACCCTTGGAGAATACAAACGAGACCTACTAAAACCCTATTGTAAAATTTTCTTCTGGTTATGTCCGAAAGATGATTTTGAACATTGTTCCTGTTACAATGAAGACTATCATTCAGACGAAGAGCTTCTGTTTGTTCCATTTAATTGTAATGTTGACAATAGCAACTTAGGAATTCAAGAGTTACATGTTACATCACCAAAACATGCAACTACTTCAGAGTCAACAACGTCTTTGACAGCACCAAACATCCCATGTTCATCTCAACCTAAATTGTCATTGCAACAGACGTCAGACAGCATTGAAAAATACTTGGTCACAACTCACCAGTGTCCAACATGTTTGATGCATTTTCCTCGCAATGAAATTGAAGTTCATGCGATCTTTGTGCTGAGACATATGTAGATACTGTTGGTGAATGTGAATCTGATGACCAAGACTGTGAAATTCAGATTGTGGAGGGAAACTTATTGAGTGAAAAAGCTAAAAGTGTGACTGATAAGTTGGAAACTGTGCAACAAGTTGTTGAAAATTTAAAGAGCAATTTAAAGATGACATTAGTCAACAGAATAACTATTCGAAGGCGTTATGCATTTAAAGACTATATGGATGCACGACTGAAGAAGTATTTTAAGTCAGAAGGTATTCTGAAAGTGTCATTTGCGGGAGAACCAGCCATAGATACAGGTGGCCCAAGACGTGAATTTTTTACAGGTAAGATTAACTAAATGTTAAGTAAATAACAGTAACAGTTTTGAAATAGTATACAAGTGTTTTAATGTCTAAAGATATTGAATAAATAGGTACAACACTTGCAATGATAGAAAATTAATTTATTGGAGTATTGTAATAACATTTTTTTGTACAGAATGCCTCAACTATATACAGAGGAAGCTGTTCAACGAAACAGGATTTCCAGTAGTGAATGTACAAGCCTTGGCCAATGAAGAATTCAAAGTTGCAGGAGAAATTATTGCTGCGTCAATTGTTCAAGGAGGACCAGCTCCCTGTTTGTTTTCTTCACAAGTGTACAATTACATAGTGCATGGAATATCAAGCGTACATGCACACAACTGGTGTGAACAGTTAAAGGATGACACAATTAAAATAACTGTTGAAAAGGTAATCTTTGAAAATTGCTTATAACCTGCATCTCTGTTTGTGTATTAAAGTGAATATTTCTGAATAAGAAATTTTACAGATCAAGTCTTGTGCAAACGATGATGATTTGGTTGCATTTCTGGAAGAAGACTTGACTATGAATGTTTTGCAAGTAATTGGTTATTGTGGTATTCCATCTAAGGAGTCAAGAGAAACAAGCGACAAGATAATTAGGTAAAATCCATAATGTAAAGATGGCTTTGGAAATGCTGCAATAGCTCTGAAGGAAATTATTTTATATTTTAATATTTCATATTTCAGGTCTCTTGTGATAAGTGATGTGTCAAAAACTTTAGCCATTATTGACCAATTAATATCTGGTCTTGAGCTACATGGGGTTTTGACTGAGTTGCGCAAAAACAGAACGGTTATGGAACCATTATTTACCATTGATGGAGCACAAAAGTTTTCAGTGACAGCTGATCATATTCTGGATCACATTTTGATAGAATGCAGTCCTGAAGGGAGCAACCAAAAGTTATTAGAAATCAATATTCACAAGTTTTTTTGTGATTATATTCAAGCTCTTGAAGCTAAAACAGGTATACATAGTGATTAATGAGTATTGCATGGACCAGGGAACATACCAGGGAGGATATCGATTGCTAAAGCTGCTGAAGTTGGTTGCAAGTAGTGGATATAAAATGTAATTTTTCAGTAACGTAATCAAGGCGTTTATATATTTTGCAATCTTGAGATGCTCTTATTGTTCCAATAGTTCTTTAAGTCTGGAAAATTTTCCTGAATAATTTTAAAGGAGTTAATTGATTCACTTATCCAATGATTTGCTTCATTTTACTTTTTGTATTGTTTTTCAAGGAGCTAAAAATTCTTTGTCTGCATTGTACAAATTTATAACTGGAGTTGAAACAGTGACCCCACTTGGCATGGAAAAAACCATCACTGTGAAATTCAAGCATGGATGCAAAGCTGGTTGTAGATGCAGACCAACAGCCTCTACCTGTGCTACAAGCTTAACACTCCCAGTTCATATTGATGATTCAAAGCAATTTGAAGATTTAATGGATGCTACACTTGCAGAAAGTTCTGGTTTTGGCTTCATTTAAAGAATACAGTATCAATTATATATTTCAAGGACATTTCTCTCTTAAAACGTTTTTAATGTTAAGACAACTTAAAATTTTTGTTAGATAACACAAACATTATTTTGCATTAGCAGTGCAAATAATTCTGATGCTTCCTGATAGTTTTCAGGATATTGTAATCTTTGCAACTCAACCAAGTAATGGAAATAATCTTGAAAAGTATTATCATACAACAATTCATTATGGCAAGCATTGCTCTCAGCTATTTGCAATTTCTCTTCAGTAACTCTCACTTGGCAATCAAAAGCCCCATACTCCTCGGGCATTGCATATAAAACATTTGGAACTCCAGCAACAGTTTCATGGCGAGATTGCCGAATATAGTGAGTATTCCAATAAACCTGACAATCATTAAATGAATTTTGCAAGACACCATTAAAACAAAACCACAAACATTCTTTAGTGAAATCATCATTTAAATTTAACTGCTTTTCCTCACAAAGATCTTTGAAAAATTGAACCCACCAACTTGAACATGTTTTTCTAAAATGTGACCACCAATTCTCAATTCTTTGGTTTGATGGAGATGTACCAAATGCATGAGCTTGACTACCACAAAATGGTGCATTGTCAAGTGATCGAAAGTAGCATTGAGCTGCTGCAATGATCCCATTCTCTGTTCCACAGTCACGACATGCCTTATTCTTTCTTACTGCCTCAAAATAAAATTTAGCCACACTCTCTGGCAAATTATTTGACCGTGTAACTTCTAACCAAAGAACTTTCCTGCTGAAACCATCTATTGCACCAGGCACAGGGAATCCAAATGGCTTCAGCTTATCATATCCTACATGTGGAAATAAAAAGTAGATAACAATGAACGCAATGATGATAACAGATAGAAAGTTAATGAAAACCGAAATGATAAAAATTGTTACTTACCATCAATGTGCCAGCACTGATTAGGTCCATATGATAAATAGTTACGCCTTTTTAGTTTGTTTTGCTTTCTTAAAGCACATGCCTCTGGATCTAGTTCCTTTAAAATACATTCCACCAGTTTTCGGGGTACATGTATGTGATGCTTTAATTTAAGTATGTGCCACATCTTCCGATAACCAGCCAAGAATCCAGGACCTTGCATCTCATTCCAAATAATTTCGCGCACAAGGTCCTCCGGAACTGTTTGCCTTCTGGTTAAATTGTAAGATTTAAGTCTGCGCTTTAGAGTCCGTAAATCCATTTCAATACCATTCTCATTCTTTAGTAGGCTAATTATGATATTATATTTATATCCATAATTAAAAGAGTTCTCTATAATGTCTCTTTCGGCTACAAAAGAATAGAGAAATTGTCTGAGTGGTATTTTCTTTCAAATTATACAATCAATCGTCATCATACCTGTAACTCTACAGCCGCAATAAGGACAGAAGTTGCATGGCATAAAAATGTTTACATTGCACAGTCGACAAGCCGCCATGTTTGATCAAATGACGTTAAAGGGGAACTCCACCCAAAAATAATGTTGGTCTTAAAAGTTCCATTTTTATGCAAAGGTTACTATATTTTTGAAATTTTTACATCAGCTATTTTATTTTTGACAAAATCGCGTCTTCAAGTGCGCTATTTGAGCTGTTTTGAGGCTTAGCAGCGTGGGCACAGAAAGCGTCAGCGGAAATTATTTTGACGTCATATCGTCAAACCGATTTGGAGTTGAGTTTACAACAAAGTAAAATAATAACGCACAGCCTAGCACAAAAACAATACATTCGCTTATAATGGCTTTTTTGGAAGAACCTCGGCCTAATTCACCAATCGATAGTGAAATGGAAGACAATCCAACAAACAATATTCGGCCATATCAGTTTGAGCCCGAATGGCTGGCTGATGAACACGAAGAAGCTCACCAGTTTGAGGATAACGAAGAACAGGAATTTTTGTATATTGACGATGAATCTCGGCGCGACAATCTTGAATGGTGGGTAGTAAAATGTTATATTATTCTAGACCATTGTTTCTATCTCAAAAGTACGTTTTCAGTTTTTGAAGTTCACCACGTCCACACACACATAATACTTTAGATTTTAAAGTTTTATTGTAAGATACAATTTTATTGAAGTTTTGACATTTACTTTTCAAGATCCTTTCTTTTAACATATTCAGGTGTCAATGTGGTAACTGCCAAATAATGGATAATAACGAGGAATGTTTATGCTGCAAAGAGATTTCCAATATTTGTGACAAAAATTTAGAGGCAGTAGAAACGAATGAGACCACCGAAGTCCCTTTCTGCATTACACAACATCCTGGTTTTGAGCCTGTTTGTCTTAATAGGTGGGTTTTACAAACAGCTTGGTACCAGTACAAGCAGCAATATGAGGTAGCATATGATGGGCCCGAGGACAAACTGTACCGCCATATTGCATATAGACAGTTGGCTAGATGGTGCTGGGGTGTCTTGGGTAGAGAAGTGAGAGTCATCTTGCCATCATGTGCAGTTACTCGCATTAGAGAAACATTTCCTCCACCTGGCCTTGCAGAGGAATTTCAATTTGAAGGCTTTCACTATGTTGATGAATGAAGTATTTTATTATGATATAGGTATATACCCATTACAATTACTTTGTATGTCAATATTAAAGTGGCATAGCCAGCTCATTTATAGGTCATGCTATGCACATTTATTATTATTAATTTATTACAGAAAAAAACAGATTTACAAAGAAATGATTATAAATGTGGCTTGGCTATTACACTGGTTATAATATAACTATAATTAATTACATGAATAGTTTGTGTAATGCAGTGGTGAAACTAGCTATAGCAAAAGGTTTTGCTATGTTAATATTTAAGAATGAACATTTTTTAAGTAGTACAAAAGTTGTCTTCACTGATTCAACATCATATTATATGGGTATGGCAAAACCTATTGCCATAGCTAACATCACCACTGACATTTTATGCAAATCTAGACGGATGTTCCTTTACAAGTACTTCTTTCCTGGGTGGACATGATTTAGAAATGTTCTTTGGAAGATTCTCGCCATGATGTACAAGTTCAATCTCCTCAGTTTTGCATGCATTCACAACCTCTGCAAGTAGTTTATCAATGTACTGGTACTCTTTCTTTTCTTTCATTGCTTTTACAACCCTTTGTTTGTCCCTGACTTAATGACTGCTTTATCACGTTTAATATTGTTGTTGTGATCTAATGCTGCTAACTGAGTGCGGGCTACCATCCCAGGAAATGAAAAATGCTCTCGCTTTGGGCAGGTCTTTTAGAAGCCTCTTGTCACATATCACCTTCTCTGCAGCGATATATGCTTGTGAAGTAGGAGATAACCACTTCTTCTGCTTTGTTTCTTTTTCTGTTAATTGTTGGTGGCAACATTGATGAAAATATGTGTTCCCTTCCAGAAATGCTTGTTGGAAATGTGGTTAAGGACAGACTTCCATTTTTCCACCAATTCTTCTGCATTCTTGTTACAGCTTGCAGAGCACCACCAAAGATGATTAGAAATGGACTTAATCCAATGGGTCAAGTCATCATTTCCCTTAATGTTAGCCTTCTTTGTTAGTTTTTTTTGTGACAGATTTAGACAAATGCCACACATCATATTGGTGATCAATATGAGGGTGTTTGTTTTTCAACCTCTGCATCCACAGTATTCAGCATCGACAGTGTAGTTTGGACTTCCATGGCATGTAAACTCCTCACAACAAATGAACACTGTGTTGATGCATCTTTGGTTTGTGGCTTGCAATAATTAGTTGGCAATGCTTCAGGACTGTCAGACGCACCCAAATCACAACTGTTATTTGCTTCTGGCTCAACCACTGAGAAAACATTTGTACTTGTGGAGGAACATTGTTCTAAAATATTTGAAAGCTGAAAATAGAAAAAATAGAAATATTTAGAATATACTTTAGGCTATAACTTTTTCTTGATTAAAATTTAACAAGAAATGCTTTTACTAACTTCCTCCTTGTCTTGGTCAGCCTGACGTTTCTCTGTACGATGCTCGCTAGACAGACGCTTTTTACTGGGTTGAGGGCCAAATGAAAAGATCGATGGTACTGCATCCCGCTTCAGTCGCCTTTTTAAAGGTTGCCATGGTGTAAGTTTCTGTCTTAGGTCCGATTCAAAACAATCGGGAGCAAAGTGCTCGCTGCAAACGTAACAGTATTGGAGAGGAGGTAGATTTTCTCTCCGTATTCTAGCAATCCATTATTATACAATTATGTACAATAATTAGGAAACTATAAGTTCATACTTTGCGTCAAGGAAACTACAACTTAATTCTATGCACGAAAGGCTATTTTACAATGGTTTTATGTAGGATTATTTTCTAACCGTAATGAGTTACACAACCATGTTTATTATTATTCAATGTTTATTAAGGGCAATAGATTGGTTTCACATCAGTGGAAACTGTTGTTAAGGTTGAATTCGGAGGACAAGCAAACGGCATTACGCACAGTTTCCACACAAAGAAACCTTCGTATTTTTTAAAAAATAATATTAATCGACATTCAAGTTCTATATGTAGTGCGGAAACTGTGCGTAATGGCCTTTATGGATGTGAAACCGTTCTATTAAAACAGAATACAAATAACCAGCTCAATACTTGCATGTAAGCTATAAAAGTTGCTTGTGTATATACCTACGAATAAAAAATTCTGACGTTTCGAAAAGAAACATTTTGTGATTAAGAGAAGCATTTTGACGCAAGTTTATTATGACTGTGCAATGACTTTACATAAAGCTTTGAAGAGCAATTGACGATATGACGTCAATACAAGCCGCTGACATATTTCTGCTCCCACGCACCGGATGCCCTAGCTGCAGCATTTCAACGCATTTTTTGTGAAAATATTGAATCAAACAAACAAAAAAATTGCCGCATATTTATTTTCACGGGACAGACAAAGTTTTAAGACCAACATTATTTTTGGGTGGAGTTCCCCTTTAAGCTTCATGTATCTTAGAATATAAAGTATATGCGCGCGCAATGTTTTTAATTTTCTACGGAACATGCAACAATTTTCTACGGAACATGCAACAATTTTCTACAGAACATGTAACATTTTTCTACGGAACATGTAACATTTTTCTACGGAACATGTAACAATTTTCTACGGAACATGCAACAATTTTCTACGGAACATTCAACAATTTTCTACTGAACATGCAACAATTTTCTACGGAACATGTAACATTTTTCTACGGAACGACTACTTTTGTAAGGCAA